TCCTCCACGTTTCTTACCGACCCCTCGGTTCTGGCCACGGACGCCGTGGCCTCGGCCAAGTTTGCGTGACTTGCTCAGTGAGAGGCCTAACCCAGCCCCTGACCTCTGTCCTCCGTGTGCGGGGACCCTGACCGCCTGCTATCTCTTTGCCACGGCGACGGAGGGCCGCGTCCCCTGTCACCCTGACCACCACTCCCTCTGGGTGTGTCATTCCTTTTTGTTTGGTTTTAACGATTTTGTAGAGAGAGGAAGGGAGAGGGATGTCACCCCAGCGCCCCCCGGCCGCACCATCGCCCACAGGGGGTCCCGCAAAGCGTCCGCTCAGGTCCTCCCCGCCCCGTCACTGCTCTTCCAGGGGGGCTCCTCCACCCTGGCCTTGCTGCCCCTCCTGCCTGGCTCACTCACCCCGCTGCCGTGCGGGACCTGCACCTTCCAACACCCGCCCCGTCACTCCCTGGGAGCCCGCCCCTCCGGAACCCAGGCTCTGACAGGTCCCAGCCCCCGCCCCCTGGCACATCCCCCCTCCCAGAGGGTCTCATGGGGCTAATTCAGCTGCTTCGTTGGAGCCCACGGGCCCTCAGGGGTCATGGAATCCAGGGGTCCTCAAACTCCTGGCTCAGGAACACCTGGAGGGCTGGCCCCACCCGACTTCCTATTCAGTGGGCCTGGGGGGTGGCCGTCATTGGCACCCCACATGGTGCCCACCCACTGGTCCCAGAACCACTGATCCGATACAAGCTTATGGGCGAGGGGACATCTGTGGGTGACGTGCCCGAGGTCTCGGGGTGCTGGGCCAGGGGGACCCCACCCTGCACCGCCCCGGCCTTGTCCCGGGTCCCCATCACCCTGAGACCCAGGTGGGCCCGAGAGGGGGGAGGCGGCCTGCAGGTACCTCTACTGCGAGGTGGGAGACTTGGCGGCGTCGAACATCTTCTTCCGGCCCTCCATCCCCGACATGGCCTCCACATTCTTCCTCCAGTCGCCCACCTCCACCGGCCGCTCCTGCGGGCGGGCGGGCCACCCCCGGTCAGCCTCACCTGGACTG